CTTTTGCTCCAATGTCCCTGTGTCCCCACATATATTTATTTAGCAGACGCTTACTGTCTCCCAGGCCCTGCTGGGTGTCTGTGGGTGAAGCAAGGAAAGAGAGCTGGATGAAACTGGCACACCTTCCCAGAAAACATCTGGATTGTTCGCATCTCTTGTGCAAAACAAGTATTTCATGAAATTGTGTGAATCGTGTTTTAAGGAAGAACCCTGAGAATAGTCAAAAAAATAAAAATAAAAATAATAAAATATCCCCAAACACCATCAATCCTATTGACTGTCTACCATGGCCCTCCACAGAGTAGAAATCACCAATTGTTTTTTGTTTGTCTTTTGGACTCTGCATTTAGAGTCAAGATCATCCAATAAGTAATCCTGTGTCTGAAGAGCYGAGCTCCCCCTTCTGTCCTTCCTCCCTGCCCCTCTCCACGGCCCCCACCTGAGCAACACCCTTGGGAAGGAACTATAAGTCTCATCTGACTATTTTTCTTTCTCCCCACTATCCCACCCCTTGCTTCTCTGTAACCGAACATGAGTTGTTCTCTAACGGCACTGGAAAAATCAGAATTTATTGTACATATGTTTGTGTTCCACTTAATAAAAAAACCTATATTTTAAGATAAACTTTGTTAGTAATTCATGAGGTAAGTGACTATTTATGCTAATCAGGCAGAAATATATTCTCAAGCATAATGCATTACATAAATTTGAATGCAAAATGTTCAATTATGAAGTAAATACAGGTAATGCAAATAATAAATTACCTCTAATAAAAATTATAAAAGATTTGTCTTCAAAGAGAGAGAGGCTTTAACTTACAACTGTGAATTGCTTAAAGAGAAAAGAATTAATAAATGCTGAATTACTCTGATGATTATTTAGCACATAATTCACCTATTCATAACGACTCCTGGTAATCACACTGTTGTTTCACATTCGCCAATAGAGACTTCCCTCGGCAATTTTACCCTTATCAGATTATCTCGTCTGATTCTATTAATTTTCTTCCATGAATCTGCTAACAGTGATTTGTGATTTACTTACCCTGCTAACTGAAGACTGTTAAAAGGATTTATCTAACACTAGATCTAAGCACAATGTACTCCTGCCTTATCCTGCAACTACTCTCAGGAACTCTTTCTCAAATCCATTTAGCTGGTTTCATAGTAAAATTTAGTGGACACTGCTTAGTTCTGCACATAAAACCAGCTCCCAGATAAACAAAGAGTTCAGACGCGATTCCAAATGCATCCTGTTTCTTTTCAGATTCTGTATGTCTGAGGCAACATGATATACTTGAGTCGCTATAACTCACAATCAGGAAAAATACCTTCCTGTTAGCTTTTAATCTTTGTAATGTAGACATGAAGGGATTTTCTCCCCCTCTTGCATGAGGTTATTATGTATGTAGTGACACGAAACTACAAATGAGTTTTTGAGGCTACTCTTTCGAAATCTTCTACATGATTCGACCCATGCCCTCCTCCCCCTCAGAATTTTCTATAAATACTCATTGCTTTCAGAAACTTTAATGCTACTGGTTTGAATTGGTCAATAATGACAAACGCATGGTTTCTAAATTACTCTGTATTGTTCTACAGAGATTACTATAGCATATACAGCGAGGGGATATTAAGCAGTAAGAAAACACAGTTCACATTGTATTTGGATTAGATTGGCTTGGATGGAAGTGAAACAAACAATGTTAGCAAAGAAGTCGAAAGAAACGTGGCCTGATGTAATTGTAGAGAATCAGAAACGTGAATAGTACTAATTAAAATGAGAGCGCTCAATTGTTATAAAAGAAATGCTGCTAACAGAGAACTGTAAATGTTTAGACACCCCTGTGAATCACTAAATAATAAAGGAAAAAGGACAAAAATGAGAATTAAGTTACAAGCCTGAGAGCACTCTTGATACACATCTAAAACATAATTCTCATCCTCTTTTTTCAAAAGAAAATGGGAGACTATAAAAGGGAGGGAGAAAAATACCACGGCTCAACAGTGGTGAACAGAAATAAACCATAAAAAATGTGCAGATAATAATACATTTAGCTGCCCAAACATGGGCATTTAATTTCTAGAAATGATATATAATTGCAACAATTAGGTATGTGGCCACGAAACTGTATGGCATGGTCTTAGTCATTAGTGAATTCTGTTTATAAAATGTTTATTTATAAATGTGGCAGCTTCAGGGTTCCTGGTCAAAAATACTTATTTTGAGAGGCAGGGACCATACTTTACAGCTTTTAACAAAAACATGATGCAGAAGGAGTTTTTAAAATTATCATAAACAAAAAATAATTAATTCTTCCCAAGGACACATAAATCTACATTTAACCACACACACACACACACACACACACACACACACACACAAACTTTGGACATCATGAACAATGCTGAACACCATAATGTTTGTAAAATTTAAGCAGTGGATTTTCCTCTGAATACATAAACTAAAATCCTTTAACTTCATTAGTAGGTAAAATACTGTCAGAGGAGGAGAGCAAGGGGATTATCTTAGATGACATAAATATTGATAGAATCTTGACTCTTTCTTCCCATACTGGGACTAAACCCAGTTCATTCCACCCTAACAAAGCATTCCCTCAAACCCAGACTACCCTTACAAACAACTCCTCTGTAGCAGGCGTGTCAGGAAAACACCAACAGTGCTGCCCTTTTAGGATGAGGATGTCCCTACAAATCTTCTGGGAGGTCTCCCAGTTGGGATTCCTGAATTTGCTGGAACCGAAGGCTGCCAAGATCAGAGAAATTAACACAGGGTTAATCTGGTGTATGAAGCAGGGGAGTGACACTTAGGTCTGTTATAAATAGTGAAGTATGCTACCGGGTGGGTAAGACTCTTCTGAAGTGCAATGTTCAAGACGCTGGCTTAATATATGACCAAGTGTCAGAAGTCAGGTTTTCTGAGAATTACTTTTCAGATAAACAACTTTAAAGCACTGTACTCAATCTTACTTACTGGAGACATTCCATTTATCACTGAATTACAAGTAACTTTAATTCTATTGATATTGCCATAGAGCCCATGGAAAATCCATCCTGCCACTTTTAGAGAGTTTGGGGCCCAGTTACCTGGGATCTGATTTGCAAAGGTCTCTCAGCCAGAACCACACCCGCAGGGCAGCAGTTGCCCCTAGCCTCTTTTTTAACAATGAAGGGGGACAAGACAGTAGGAAAAATATGATTCCGGGATTTGCTAGCACTTTCTTCGTCCCATTTCTTAAAAGGTTGAGCTCTACCACGAAGGTCCATCTTAACTTTCTGGGCCTCTTTCCTCCTCCCACTTTGGGAAAACAGCTTCTTTGCACTTCAACAAAACTGGACACGGATCAATTTCAACTGACCTTTGCCGAAAGGTGGCGCTGTTGAGGTAAAAACCAACTCGGTCCAACAATAGTTTTCACTCTTCGATCCTTTGCAGGCTTTTCATAATTTGTGAGTGTGTGTGTGTGTGTGTGTGTGTGTGTGTGTGTGTGTGTGTGTGTCCCTCCCATAAAGTTAAAAAAAATTCGATTAACACCAAGTGCATTTCATTAATAGCTGGAATCAACAGTCCCAACTACCAAGCAGGTGGGCTGGACTTTCAAATGTGGGTCGGCTTCCCACAACCTTGCTTACCCCCAAATAAATCTCGGCTCCTCCAACTTGCCTATCGCTTTAAAATCTTAGAAAAGAGTTGTCGGTTTCTTTCCTTTGCTCTCTTGCTTCTCTCTCTCTCTCTCTCTCTCTCTCTCTCTCTCTCTCTCTCTCCACAGCTTTAAAGAATCGATCTAAAACATTGAACTAGTTATTAGCATTTGCAATTGTGAGCAATCCCCCTACACCCCGAGTTTCCGGGCTTGTCCGAGAAACAGCGGTTTAAAATTTAACCCTTGAGGGGAGCTAGTGGGGTTTGGGGGGATTGTGTTTTTCTCCCTGTTCCCCACCACCATCAAGCCTGAAATCAGTGAAACGTTAAAGAGCAAAGAGCGCGCGCCAGACCCTGATAAACAGGGTCGGATTTCATAAGGGGAGGGTGAGTGTGTGTGTGTGTGTGTGTGTGTGTGTGTGTGAGAGAGAGAGAGAGAGAGAGAGAGAGAGAGAGAGAGAGAGAGAGAGAAATGAATTTCAAAGGCCAAACAACTCTGCCCGGAGTCGGGACCCTGGCTGACCCAACTCCGCTTTCCCGGAGTTAACTCTGGCTTGGGAGCCCCCCACCCCGCACCGGGCACGCGAAGTTAGCAGGTCTCTGCAGGGAATGGCCCTAAACAACTTATTTCACCTCCTTAAAAAACAGGGTGATAGAATGGACTTTCTTTCTCCGCGGACTCCAAGGCGCTGGGGCTGGCTCACCCGGGTGGGGTCCGGCGCTCAGCAGTGATCCCGGCACCCCGTGCATCCCCCCAGCGCACCGGAGGGAGGGACAAAGAGTTGGTCCAAGTTTGGGCTCCCAGCGCAGCCAGGCTGAGGGAAGGAATGTCCCCCGGAAGACACCTGGAATGCCCAAGATGMAGCGAGGAGGAAAAGTCAAAGGCCAGTCCACAGTCCCGGGGTTGGGGGACAGTCAGGGAAGGGGAGTTAGGCCAATCCTAGCAGAGCGAGTGGCGGGCGAGCTGGGGCTCCAGAGGGCAGGCCTCTCTTGTGCTCCGAAGAAAAACAAACTGTCCTCCCGGGGCCACCCGAATTCTAGCCGTCCCTCCGAAAAACTCCTTCCCCTCTCGCACTAAACTTTTCTCCRGGCCTGGTTCTCTCCCTCCCCGGGAGCTGCGGCGCGGGAAGGGTTAAACCAGCCCGTCCCAGCTGACAGTCAGCTGATTGGGTCCTGATTGACAGATCCGAAAAGTTTCCTTGTTTCTATACTATTATGCTAATCGCAGCCGCTCTTGCCGCCTCCCATTGGCCTGGAGTGCCAGTCAATTTCCCATTTGGGCCTGACGTCACGAGTGCTATAAAACTCAGCAATTGCTTTAAACTCTTCTTGCTGGATCAGAGGCTTTAAAATCTTTTTTCATCTTGGAGCTGTAGCTTGGGCTGCTCGCCGGCTCGGTCTGCCCCCCCCCTTCCCACTTTGCTTTTTGCCTTGCCTTTCCCCAGGACTTCGCAATTTTGCTTTAAAAAAAGGGGGGAAAGAAAGAACTAAACTCCCCCCTCCCTTTCCTCCAGCCGGGCTGCACCTCTGTCTTGCACTTTGCACGGAGGAAGAGAGAGAGAGAGAGAAAGAAAGCGAGAGTACGGGAGAGAGGAGAAAAGAAAAAAAAAATAAAAAAATAAAAAGAGCCAGGCAGAAGAGGAGGAGAGAAGCATGAAGTGTTAACTCCCCCGTGCCAAGGCCCGCGCCGCCGGACAGCCGCCCGCCGCGCCTTCAGCCCCGAGCGGCCGCCGCGCGCGCCCCGCCTGCAGCCCGGCCGGCTAGGCGAGCCCTCCTTATGCAAAGCGCGCAGCGGAGCGACGAGCGGGGGACGCCGCGCACCGGGCCGGGCTCCTCCGGCTTTGCAGCCGCAGCCACCACCGCAGCCCGCGGAGGACCTTCCCGAGCCTGAAGCCGCCGGCTCGGCGCGCACGGAGGCGAGCAGGCGAGGAGGGGCCGGGGCGAGCGAGCAAGCACATTGGCGTGAGCAGGGGGAGGGAGGGCGGGCTCGGGGGGCGCGGGCAGGGCGGGGGGTGTGTGCGCGCTCGGAGGTTTCGGGCCAGCCACCGCCGCTCGAGCTAGAAGCGCCCCAGCCCGGCAAGCTGGCTCACCCGCTGGCCACCCAGCACAGCCCGCTGGCCCCTCTCCTGCAGCCCATCTGGCGGAGCGGCGGCGGCGGCGGCGGCGGCGGCAGGAGAATGGCATCAGAACTGGCAATGAGCAACTCCGACCTGCCCACCAGTCCCCTGGCCATGGAATATGTTAATGACTTCGATCTGATGAAGTTTGAAGTGAAAAAGGAACCGGTGGAGACCGACCGCATCATCAGCCAGTGCGGCCGTCTCATCGCCGGGGGCTCGCTGTCCTCCACCCCCATGAGCACGCCGTGCAGCTCGGTGCCCCCTTCCCCCAGCTTCTCGGCGCCCAGCCCGGGCTCGGGCAGTGAGCAGAAGGCGCACCTGGAAGACTACTACTGGATGACCGGCTACCCGCAGCAGCTGAACCCCGAGGCGCTGGGCTTCAGCCCCGAGGACGCGGTCGAGGCGCTCATCAGCAACAGCCACCAGCTCCAGGGCGGCTTCGATGGCTACGCGCGCGGGGCGCAGCAGCTGGCCGCGGCGGCCGGGGCCGGAACCGGTGCCTCCCTGGGCGGCAGCGGCGAGGAGATGGGCCCCGCCGCCGCCGTGGTGTCCGCCGTGATCGCTGCGGCCGCTGCGCAGAGCGGCGCAGGCCCGCACTACCACCACCACCACCACCATGCCGCCGGCCACCACCACCACCCGACGGCCGGCGCGCCCGGCGCCGSGGGCAGCGCATCCGCCTCGGCTGGCGGCACGGGCGGCGCTGGCGGCGGTGGCCCGGCCAGCGCCGGGGGTGGCGGCGGCGGCGGCGGTGGCGGCGGGGGCGCGGCGGGGGCGGGGGGCGCCCTGCACCCGCACCACGCGGCCGGCGGCCTGCACTTCGACGACCGCTTCTCAGACGAGCAGCTGGTGACCATGTCCGTGCGCGAGCTGAACCGGCAGCTGCGCGGGGTCAGCAAGGAGGAGGTGATCCGGCTGAAGCAGAAGAGGCGGACCCTGAAAAACCGCGGCTATGCCCAGTCCTGCCGCTTCAAGAGGGTGCAGCAGAGACACGTCCTGGAGTCCGAGAAGAACCAGCTGCTGCAGCAAGTCGACCACCTCAAGCAGGAGATCTCCAGGCTGGTGCGCGAGAGGGACGCGTACAAGGAGAAATACGAGAAGTTGGTGAGCAGCGGCTTCCGAGAAAACGGCTCCAGCAGCGACAACCCGTCCTCTCCCGAGTTTTTCATGTGAGTCTGACACGCGATCCCAGCTAGCCACCTTGATATGCTCCGTGGGGGTCCGGCTCGGGTGTGGGCTTGCTAGTTGCAGAGCCACGCTTGCCACCACCTCGCCCCCTCCCCTACCGAGATCGCCCCCCCTTGATCCCTGCACACACACACACACACACACACACACACACACACACACACACAACACTGCTCAGAGTTTGTGGTGGTGGCGACTGTTTTAAGTTGGGGAGGGAATAGGTGTTTGGCTCATGGATTGCCAATCTGAAATTCCCCCGTAACTTGCTAGCTTTTTTTTTTAACACCCCCCCCCAAGACTTGCACAATGTTCAAAGATCCCAGCAGAGTTCTCCATGTGAAACATGCTCACCTTTGAAGCCCGCATCATTCGCATAGTATTTTTTTTTCTTCAGTTCATGAGCTGGTGTTCATTTTCTCTGTGTGTGTGTGTGTGTTTAATTTTGTTTGGATTTATTTTCTTTATTTTAATTTTTGGAGCTTGCTGTGTTGCCCAACCTCCACCCTCACCCCTCTCCACCCATCTTCTCCTCTGAGATAAAAGAAAAAAAAAAAAGCAAAGTTTTTTTTTCCTCCTCCTGAGTTCTTCATGTGAGATTGAGCTTGCAAAGAAAAAAAAATGTGAAATGTTATAGACTTGCAGCGTGCTGAGTTCCATCGGGGGTTTTTAGCATTGTATTGCTAAAATAGAGGAAAAATAACCTCATGAACCTGCCACAATCAAGCCTGCATCAACCTGGGTGTGACTTGTGAGTTTTGGCCTTATGATGCCAAACCTGAGAGTTTAGTCTGCCATTAAAAAAACAAAACAAACAAACAAACAAAAAACTCATTCTCATCTCATGCATTATTATGCTTGCTACTTTGTCTTAGCAACAATGAACTATAACTGTTTCAAAGACTTTATGGAAAAAGAGACAATATATTAATAAAAAAACCTGCATGCTGGACATGTATGGTATAATTATTTTTTTCTTTTTTTTTTTCCTTTGGCTTGGAAATGGACATTYGAAGACTTAGAGCATGGCATTCATACTTTTGTTTTATTGCCTCATGACTTTTTTGAGTTCAGAACAAAAAAGTGCAACCCTAGAGCCTTCTTCCCATGAAAGTTTGCATCTGCTCCAGCTTTGAGTTACTCAGAACTTCAGCCTCCCATTGTAATGCACTGAAGGCATTCCTTGTCAAGATACCAGAATGGGTTCCCAATTGATCATGGCAAACATTAAGAAACACTTATTAATGTTTTCTTTTTCATAAGAATTATGCCCCCCCCCTTTGGGGACTTAAATTGTGCTGTTGCCGAAAGCAGTCTAAAATTTATTTTTTAAAAAAAAAGAAATCTGCCCCATTATTTTTGGTTTGTTTTATTTTTATTATTATTATTATTTCTTTATTTTTGGCTTTTGGTCATTGTCAAATGTGGAATGCTATGGGTTTCTAGTATATAATTTAATTCTAGTTTTTATAATCTGTTAGCCCAGTTAAAATGTATGCTACAGATAAAGGAATGTTATAGATAAATTTGAAAGAGTTAGGTCTGTGTAGCTGTAGATTTTTTAAAAGATTGATGCACTAAATTGTTTACTGTTGTGATGTTAAGGGGGGTAGAGTTTGCAAGGGGACTGTTTAAAAAAGTAGCTTATACAGCATGTGCTTGCAACTTAAATATAAGTTGGGTATGTGTAGTTTTTGCTATACCACTGACTGTATTGAAAACCAAAGTATTAAAAGGGGAAATACCCCTGTTTATATCTGTAGGGGAATTTTACATTCAAAATGTATGTTTTTTTTTTTCAAAATTAAAGTATTTGGGACTGAATTGCACTAAGATATAACCTGCAAGCATATAATACAAAAAATGCAAAACTGTTTAGAACGCTAATAAAATTTATGCAGTTATAAAAATGGCATTACTGCACAGTTTTAAGATGATGCAGATTTTTTTACAGTTGTATTGTGGTGCAGAACTGGATTTTCTGTAACTTAAGAAAAAAATCCACAGTTTTAAAGGCAATAATCAGTAAATGTTATTTTCAGGGACTGACATCCTGTCTTAAAAAAAAAATGAAAAGTAAATCTTACCACAATAAATATAAAAAAATCTTGTCAGTTACTTTTCTTTTACATATTTTGCTGTGCAAAATTGTTTTATATCTTGAGTTACTAACTAACCATGCGTGATGTTCCTATGTGCTTTCCTTTCATTTTCAATTCTGGTTATATCAAGAGAAAGAATAATCTACAATAATAAACTGCATTTTTTTTTTGATTCTGTACTCAGTTTCTTAGTGTACAGTTTAACTGGGCCCAACAATCTCATAAGAAATATAAAATGCATCTTTCTCTCCAGAGGAAGGATAAGTAGGAAGAACAAGGAGACAGTCATTCAGGGTGAAGTTACAGGCTGTGCTTGAGGCAAGGGAGCTGGCCCCATAGAATAATTAGTCATATTTAATATAGACGTAAATTATGACCTGTATTTTGTTTTTGACCTCAAGTTTTCAGTTTTTAAATGAGTTGAACTATCATAGTCCTTTGGTGGGGAAAAAAAAAATTAAAGAAAGAAGGAAAAGAAAAGAAAAGAAAAAAAAAAAAAAAGGTAGAGTCGGCTTTGGCTTTCTGAATCCAGAAGCAAAGCCCTCTAGAGAAAGTGAATCTGGCAAGTCGGCCTATCAGAGATGGCTTGGGCACAGATGCGTCTAATGTTAAAGATAAATAATTCTTGTCTTTTGGCTGAAATTGATTATTTTTCCTTCTTTCCTTATACACCATGACTTTCTTGTTAGTGAGGCCTGATGAGATTGGACATCAACACTTGGGACAAATCAAAGTTGTTTGTTTTGTTTTGCTTTTTTTGCTTTGTTTTGTTTTTTAACTTTTAAAGATCATTTATCTGAAATGGGAAAAAAACATCTACCTACCCCTTACTTCTATAACTCCCAGTTCATATCTGATTTAAACTGTGTTATCAAATCATATTTCACTGTAACTGTTCAGTGGAGAGCCTCCACTTAGACAAGCTGGTAATGATTTCATATCACATTAGCTCCAGAAATATAAATAGAAAATAATGCCTTCGTTGAAGGGAGGCTATACTTTAATTGGTATTTATCCCCAAACAGACTGTGTATGGGGGCTAGCTTGAAGATCATTTGGGAAGATTTTGGCTACCCCTCACTAGTAGAACTCCTAAGCGTTGACCTATTTTAAATTGACACAAATCCATGCAACTAATGTTACAAATTCAGGCGGCCTGCACTCTCGGTCAACTTCCCCTAGAAACTAACAGAATGTTAGACAAAGGGGCACTGTTTAAAAAATATAGCCAAACATGATGACTTTTGTTTTATTTAGTTTTCAATTCTTAAAAMGAAAAAAAAAAGAAAAAGATAATATTGCAACTCCGAATGAAGGCCTTATTTTGAAGAAAACAGGTTGTGCTTGGCRCTGGTGAGTGCTGGCCACTCTCATCACGGGGCTTCCTCTTTTTCATAGAACACGAAGACAGGGCTGACCCTCCACATTTTTTACCTTCCTTTCTGTGCCAGTTTGGATTCGGTTCCTGAATCCACAGTTAATTGTGCCTCACAAAAGTCTTCATAGCAAAGCTACCCTCGTGTGCTGGGAGTTAGCTCTCCTCGACTTGGGAGATTTTTATTYCTCACCCTCCCTCTGAAGATGCAGAAATAGACATGTCACTTTTATGAAAAAGCTCAGCATCCGATGGGAGATGTTAGGCAAACACATTCTCGAGACAAGAATGACATTTAGGACACACTTGGTGCAGTTCTTTCATGAAGAGTAAGACCTGGYTTGGGGGAAAAATATACATAGTTCTGCAATAATTAAGGAATTTGATAGAAATCTATAAAGCAGATTCAGTATAAGTCTGTTTGGGCTCCCAGACATTAGAAAATGAAAGGAGTGCTGAGAAAAACGGGGCTTGGGTGGCTGGCTTAAAGAGCAGGTTAACTCAGAGTGAAAGGCATTTGGGGAGGTAATGATTACTAAAAACTTTGAAAGATAGTGAGAGGAAAACACAATTTTTTTTTTTTTAATAAAGAGCTCCTAAATCCTGCCTAGGTGCCGGTCCTTACAAATAAGTTTCTAAATTTAAAAAAAAGAAAAGAAAGAGAAATCATATAAGGAAATCCAAACTTTTCCCTTTACGCTACATTTGAGTCTTTGTCTAAATAGTGTTAAAATTCCTTTCATTCCAATTACAGAACTGAGTCCACTCGCAAGTTGGAGACATCAGTGGGATACACCACATTTTGGAAGCCCCAGCAATATATATTTACCACTGTGTTCACAAAATGAAATTTATGTGAGAGCTGTACATTAATATATATATATATATATATATATATATATATATATATATATACACACACACACACACATATATATATTGTTAATTTGTGGTTTTGGAGAACAACTCACTCCTTACTTTTATCATTTATCTGAAATAGGAAAAAAGAAAATCTCCTTTATTTAAATAAAAATTATATTAGAGGAGAAGGTTGTTAAAAGTATGTCCTTCTCACTAATTAAGAATTAACTATGCCTCTTGTCTGAGGGTCTCAGGCAYAGACCCTTGGAAAGGGCACGCATGCTTTTCGATTTATGATGCACACGAATGAACAGGTGTGATTGTTTTCAACCTGGAATATTAGTTTTTAAAATGCACTGAAATTACCAATGTGTATATGTACATGTAGATGAAGAAAAGTTTGCCAAGGGGGTTACAGCTAGCATTTTAAAATCATGCAGACCGTGCACATTCTAAACAGCAAATTTTCATGCTACATTGTTTCCCTGGCAGAGAAGTTTCCTAAGAAGAAAAATACACATATTTGACTCCCCTCTCCAAACAAATGCCACCACGGGCAGATGCATCAGAGGAGCAGGGCACCTGGTTCTTTCATGGGCCCTGGGTGGCATCATATGTACTGTGATGACAAATGCATTCATTTAGCAGACATAGCTGTAAATGAAAGCAATGTGTGGCCAAATACAAACTTAGCTAAGCAGACATCCTCTGTGTGCTTTCTCGTTCCTCCCTTTCTGTTCCCCAATACTCACAAAATTCACCACCTTTTAATTTCCCGGCTTTTTTGCATGTTTCCTTTTTCAAAAATCATCTCATCATTTTTTACAATGTATCTGACACATTAATATATTGGCATCAAATAGGCAGAGTCCTCCTTCTGCCCAGCAGATAAATCTGCTATGTAGACCTCATTTCCTCCCTGTCTCAACTCCGTAACCACCTGGGCCTCCTTTCAATGTATACTCCCTGGATGGGAAATCTCTATTTATTACTGAACACGTGGTGATAACTCACCGATCTTTTCTCCCTCAGACCCTTACCTTAGCAGCATCAATTCGAGATTCTTCTGTTCTTAAATAGGTCCTCCCCTCGCCAAACCACTAGCTTTACTGCTGCAAACGGTGAGGGGAAAAGGGTAAATGGTGGCCACCCTCATGAGCATGGTGCATACCTGTCTCAGTAGCCACATTCCCAGCATTTCCTCGTCTAAATAACTGAAGTTGCCTAGGATGTATTCAGAAGCTGTTAGTACAGTACACGAGGAAGCTTCTGGTCAAGGCAAACTSTCTTCCATATTCACAATGCCTTGGCTGATACAATGTAGTCCTGCAGTATCCTGGGTCAATCAATATATTTAAAAGTCTGATATGTCCACGGATATATTTTTCGGGGGGTGGGTACTGGTAGTTAAAGACTAACTGAGATAGAATGGAAGACAAAAATACGCATGAGTGACAGACAATCTTCAGCCTTTTGACGGCCGAAGAACACACTCTCCAGCTCTGGGGCCTGAGCTCTGAGAGGGGTAGGGAGTCAACCTGGCCAGCTTTGGATTGTTGATTTGCAAGGCTCCCTACGGTGATTCGCTTTCCTTTGATTAAAAAAAAAAAAAGAAATGATTTAGCCCTTTTCTTGGAAGAAAGGTTAGTTTTTTTTTTTTAGTTTTGTTTGGGGGATTTTTTAAAGGAAAATTTTCTTTTGCAGGATTAGGCTGTCACTGCCACCAATTCATATTATTCCTCAGGATGCAGGAGGAATATTCTGTGGTCTGTGCATTCCTTCATGTTGTGGGGAAAATAAGAGAAACCCTGAGGTTTGTTTTCCCTCTCCACCCTTCCTCAATCCCGGAGATTTCTCAAGTGAGGGCAGGGGTATAAGTGGCCAGAAGAGAGGTGGCCCCAGGGTCTGGCCATCCCAATCAGGATTTGTTTGTTTTTGCATTTGTTTAAAAACAGAGCCTTAACCCACCTTCCCCATGACATTGCTTTTTCTCACTTTTGATATAAATCTTCAAAATCCAGACATCAAACAGCCCCAGAAAAGGGGAATTCTCTGCAGGCAGGCGTTGCTCCGCCCCAGCTCCTGAACAAACCCAGCACTGTGTGGCAGTTTTTCAGTAACAGGGGTAGGAGACATGGGGAGAGAATTGCAGTCTCCCAGGCTGTCTCATGATTGTTGGGGCATGAAGAAGTACGGTCCTGCCACAAATGGGGAGCATCTTTATCCTTTAGAGAGGAACAAAACAAAACAACCAAACAAATGTGAACAAATCAAATGGCTCCTCACCAAGGCATAGCCAAGTCTTGGTTCCTGTTCCCTGCACCATCTGTAGAAAGTGATAAAGGAGGGAAGCAAGAGAAAGCAGGCCTTTGAAGGCAGGAGTCCTGGAAAAAGAGAGCCCCTGTGAATTTCACTTGCTCAGGAGCCAAAGTCAGAGCCAATATATATACATGGAAGCCTGATAGAAGCAAGGCTTGACTGTCCATTTCTTTTAAAAATATAACACACCTATGTTCCCTGGTAGAAAACAATTTTGGGAACCAAACCCAAATAGAGCGCTTGAAGGTAATCACTAATGTCTTCACTTCTGGGCATTTATAAATGCACCAGTCTGTGACTCGATGGTGGTACTATTTTGGACTAGTCAGACGTACTATGCCAATATTTGTATGGTCCCTGCACTGGGTTTTATGACATCATGACAGTTTTTTTTTATTGTTTAAATTTGAAAGCCCTCTGGGTGTTTTGCATAATTCTGCCTCAACGACCAAGGCTGAGATAGAAAGCACACATCAACAGCACACCGAAATCAGATCTATGAATTTGCATCAGAGTTGGACAGCTTTAAGAAACTCCCAAAACATTTCCACAGAGGCTCTGATCGGAATGCAGTTTCTTACTCAAATCAAAATCATCTACGGAGCACCTCTTCACTTATTCCGCACAAGTCATTTTCTCTGCCTTCTTTCTTTTTTTGTTAAATAACAATTTTTCTCTGTAATTAGGATTTGGGATTGCAAAATCGCATTCCTCCCTTCTGCGTAGATTCAGCTTGGATCTTTAGCGACCATTAGAAAGGGGTGTTAATTCAAGAAAGGAGGAAGAGGGAGAGGTGGCGGCAGCCAGAGGTTTGGGGAAAAGAGGGGGAGGAGAGGAAATGGTTCTCAGTGCTCACCCCCCTCCTCAGGCTGCCCCTACCTCCAGCCCACGCACCCGGGATTTCACTTCTGACTTTCTCTAGTCTAAATATTCTGATTCTCAATATTGCCTGTTTCCAAGCTAAGATTCCAAAAACCAGTTTTTCCTTGTGATTGGTTCTCTTAGTGATGGAACAGAAGAGGCCAGGAAACCTCACAGAACTAGGCAGGGAAGAGGGAAAACCTCTATCCTCAGATGCTCCCCACAACGATGGTGGTAAAGGAAGCCCTGGCGCCCAAAAAGACGTGACAAGGGTACAGATTCTTCTTTTGCAACCAATATTTGCCCTGGTTGGGTGTGACCACATCCCCCTTTGGAGGCCTGTAGAAGTGGGTTTCTGACCTCCTTGGGGGACTCACCAGAAAGGAAACAGGCCTGAGGCCTCCAGGACCGTAGGCCCTCAAACTAGGCCCAGGGAGAGGAGGAGAGGAAGGGACCCAGTGTGCAGGGGTCGGGGAGAGTATTGCTGACAGAGGCCAACCTTGGCTCATGACCCCCAGTAGCCAGGGCTCGGCTCAGGTCATTCTCAGGGTCCCCTCCTCTGGCCAGGAAGGACCTGTTTACAGGGTGACTGATAAGCTGCTGACAGGCCCTGAGCTTCCCACAGATGGATAAAAACAGTGAGYCCCTAGCTCTGGGGTTCGGGCCCTGTCCTATCCCAGGGTTCTCCCCATGATTTCCAACACCCTCCATGCCTGGTCACTCAAGGCGATAAGAGGGCTTAAGGGGCACTGGCCTCAGGCCAGGAAGAAGTCACCAAAGTTGAGGCCTTGCACCACCTAAGTCCTTCCTGCCACAATTTAAATGCAGACAAAGGCAGGGGTAGGCAGATATGTCTGGGGAGCTGCTGAGAGAAGAGCTGAGGTTGGGTTCCAGAATGTGTAACTCGGGTCCTAAAGGCTGGGGTGAAAGGGAAGTCACAAGGATGCTGAGATTAAGCGCCCTGCCAGTTTCTATGCACACCCCCACGCCACAGCGTCCTCCCCGCCCCAGGTCCTTTGTACACCTGCTTCACAGGGCCCAGTCGCCCTAAACATTGCTGCCCAGAGCTCCGTGGCCTGAGCTGAGCAGGGGCTTGTGCACTGGCCTCCCTCTGGAGTCCTCTGACGGGTGCGCAGCAGGTGCGCACTGACTGGAGCCAGGATGACAGGCCAGGGCAGGCAACTGCCTGAGGTCACCAGGAAGTCCCTCAGGGCCGGCCTCAGCTCCAGGCCCAAGGCGGAGCCCAGGGAGGCGGGTGCGCACTGGTGGCTGTGGGCAGCTAGTGCCCCGCCAAGACGCCCAAGGCGCAGCCAGGCGCGGGGAGGCAGGAACGGGGCCCCACCCAGCCCCGTCAGGGCCCGCACCGCTCCCAGGGGGCTGGGATCTCCAGTGGAATTTGGCTGACAGTATCCCGGAGGACCTGCCCTGGCCTCCACGGGGCGGCCGGGCTTGCACAACTACCTGCCTTTCCGCACTCCTAGGTGGGCGCATGGAGGGAGGGAGTGGAGTCCGCGCTGAAGGCTCTGCCCTTCACCTGGAGACCCCGGCCCCACCCGCGAGCTCCTGGGAACCTTCTGTAAATAAGATCATTGGTTCCAGATCATTTGATTTTTTACTCATTAATTTTCTGGCCCATTTTCCAGATCTGTCCCCCTCTTTTTCTCCCCTTTGGTTAGAGACAGAAGCAGGAGGGAAAAGAGAAAGAGGGAAATCTAGAGAGCAAGTTTAAAAATCCTCCTGGAAATGGCGATATGGTCTGGGTTACCCGTGGTGTATATACAAAGCCAGCCACGCAAACTTTATTAGGATTCTTCCATCAGGGCCAGGAATAGGCTCCAG